CAACACCCAGTGCTCCATGCAGAACGTGCCCTCCTCAATACCCACCACCAGGCCAACCCATCCTCCCACCCCCCTCCCCTCTAGAACCCTCAGTTTTTAAAGACAAGGGTAGTGATTCCTATACCTGGTTATTATTCATTCTAGAATGTTTTATTTCAAATCAACACAACTTTGATTTTTAGAAACAGTTTTCAGTTTAACCAATTATAAAGGTAATACACTTCCATTGTAAGAAATATGGGGAAATGAGAAAAATATGAAGAATAATTTTTAGAAAAATGTTAAGATCATGACTCTCACACAAATATAAAATGAACATGTGTCAAAGATTGTATTTAACTCATTATTAATAAGGGAAGAGGTATGATGTTACAACCAGTTCAAAGAAGAATGCAAAGAACACATTTACAGGTAAACAGCTAAAAAATTTACAAATCAATGTCAAATTGGTCAATATCCATTGGGCAATCATCATTTAGGTTCTACTGACTCAAGTTCATTTGCCTTTCCTTTTTTTTTTTTTTTTTAAGATTTATTTATTTATTTTAGAGAGAAAGAGGGGAGGATGTAAGGGGTAGGGGCAGAGGGAGAGGGAGAGAGTAAGTCCCCAGCAGACACCCCGCTGAGTGCAGAGCCCCAGGCTGGGCTTGATCCCACACCTGGAGATCACCACCCCAGGGTTCCGGAATCAAGAGTCAGAGGCCCAAGCCACTGAGCCACCCAGGCGCCCCTCATCTGCATTTCTGTGAACAAAAGTCACTGGCCGTACTATAGGCTTTCTACAATTTACAGAGGTATAAAGTAGCTCAAAGGCGATGACCAGACACGGGGACCCTATATGGTCAGATACAACTGAAAAGTGTGCCACACAGGACATCCAGTAACACCCTTCCCTCTTTTGGCCTCTTCAAAATTTTCCATGGGGCTAATGATGATGATGATAATGATAATAATAATTAATAATAAATCCTCTGGAACGCCTCATCCCGGAAAAACACTCCCTTCGATTCTTTCGAGTCGAACTGGCAGTGGAGTACGGAGCTTTCACTAAGCACGCTGAACCAGGTTTCTGAAGCAACCTGAGCGCAGCATCCGGGGACGCGCTACTCGACAGGGACCCCGGGCGCACACCTGCCCGGCGCATCCCCCGCGGCGCAGCGAGCAGCGCCGGCGCCGCCCACTCGGCCGCGAGGGGCCCAAAGTCAACCGCGCAAAACTCGGAGCGGACGTCGGACCCGCTGGGAGTGGAGCGGGGAGAGGCTGCCTGCGCCGGGCCGACGGGCGGGGACGGAAGAAACTCCGGCAGAAACTCAGATCCGCCGCGAAGCAGGGCACTTGCGCGGCCACCGAGCCAGGTGCGGCCGGCCGGGCGGCGCCGCCTCTTCCCTCCCCCCCC